TTACTTGTTTTTTTAGTTTGATTTGATACGCATATAATTTAATAGGGTAGTATTTTTTAGTTTCAAATTTAGTGGATAACAATTGTAAAAAATGAGTGAAAACAATCCCACGGACAATGCGACGGTTTTAAGGTTATGTCAAGGTACGTCTGCCATTCTGGCTCTTGTGCCAATAAAATCCAACTAACTAACAAACAAGGTACGTCTCTGGTGAATATCAATTGATTGTTTCGCTTCTGAAATTACATTATGACGCATTCACATTAATACAAATACATTTTCCAGGGCGAGACGATGAGGCAACCACAAGCACTTCCACTGGATAGCTAATAATCTCAATCCTTTAGCTGTCCCGATCGGTCGACGAAATGCTACAATCTATCTTCACAGACAAAGAAGTTTTTTTGACTTGTCATCTGTTAAACTTTCAAAATATTTAAAAGTTCTGTTTTTCGTCTTGAAAGCAATAAAAACACGATATTACCTTTTGATTAAAATATTTATTTGCAAACGCATTCAATCAAGAATCAGAAATGAAAACAAACATTTCTTCAGTATTTTAAGCGTTCCGGGGATAAAAAGAAAAAAAAATACGGAAGAATTATAGTGGAGAGTCAGGATACTTGCAGGCAATCTTCTCTTGGCTCTATATCAAGAAGTATGTCTTTGGGTTTCAAAATTCCAAAACCGCGATGGAACTGCATCGGTATCTGAAAAAGAAATTTAGAATTGTATGCATATTTAGTCTGGAATATTACACTATAGAGCAGAATATTATGTGGATAGTAAAAAGAAAAATCATTCAAAAATTTTACTCTTTGTTAGCCGTGTGCTATTGGATACATGCAAGTGACGTCATCGTAGGTAAATCGTGAACCCCTGAATAACTTTTGATCTAATGATCGGGTCTTCACGTTCTAGGACTCATTCTTAATGGTTCGAGGGGGTGACTTTAATTAATTAGTGCAAACGATATTTTAAGTTACTAAATCAGACACAAAAAGGTACTGTCACTGAATAAACATACCTTTTTTCCGAAGGATTCGGATTTCTGATCCCCAATTACGGTGTAGCCCCAATCTGAGAAATATGGTCCCCATAGTTTGGTCAAGAGGGCGATCCAAAGTTACCCCTTAATGTTAGTTTTACTTTTCACGTACTTCGCCATATTTCGAAAATTTTTCAAGCGAAATAATTTTTTTTGCATGCAATTATAAAATTCGTTTATTTAAAAATAATTCCATTCAAAAAATAAATGCTAGCAATTATTTTTTGTTATTTTATTTAACAATAGTCGAAAAAAGTTTGAATTGTAAAGGTATACCATTTTTTTACATCATTTTAAAGTATTTAATTTTACATGGCAAAATCTAAAATTTGAATTTTATAAAATTTACTTTTTTAAAATTCGATTTTTCAGAAACTATTCTACCGATTTCGCTCAAATTTTAGATTTTGCCATGTAAAATTAAATACGTTAAAATGACGTCAAAAATGGTATACCTTACAACTCATAATTTTTTCGATTATATTTAAATTAGATAATAAAAAGTACAAATTGCTTGCTAAAATTTATTTTTTGCATGGATTTACCTTTGGATAAAATAACTTTATAATTGTGAGCAAAAATGTTTCAACCCGCTTAAGAAGTTCTCGAGATATGGTTAAATACGCAAAAAGTAAAAGTAATATTAAGGAGTTTAAATTTTGGATCGCTCTCCTGGTCAAACTATAGGGACCATATTTCGCAGATTGGGGAAATCTCCTATATTTTGGGGGTCAGAAACCTGAATCTATTGAAAAAAGGGTATGCTTATTCGGAGAAAGTACGTTTTGTGTCTGATTTCGTAACTTAAAATATCATCTGCATTAATTAACCCCTCGAATCATTAAGAATGAGTTGGTCCGTTTTTTTGTCGCACTTGTACATCAATATTGACAATTTACGTTATCTCACATAACGCAAGAAGATATTTGACCAATAAATAAAAAAATTATTCAAGATGTCCACTTAAGTACCATGTCCAGACTGAGCCCCCACCCCCAAACTTACATCAACTCATCAGAGAGCAATTGAATATTGAAGCAGAAAATATTTTATATAATGAGTATAAAATTGTTAAACAACACAAAGAAAAAGATGAAAGTAAAAATGTGGTATTTTTTTTCTTCTTCAAAATTAGACCGATACGGACAGTCGCATAATTTTAGCGTAAAAGCGTTACGGCCAAAGATCACACTACCCAAAAGCTGAAGAAAAAGCTTGACCCCGACTTACTTTAAGTTCATTTTCTAAAAACGAGGATGAATTAAGCTCGATTTGAGAAAAATGATATTTTAGATTTCAAAAGTTTTGATATATTTTTAGTGCGAAGAGCTTGAAACAATACAATGATAAGCCATATTTTTTAAATTGTTCCGGAGAATTACTTAAAAAGCTGTTTTGGCAAGGAACTGGTTCGACGTAAAAATGCAACTTTTTGAAAAAAAGTCCAGCGGTTCCCAATTTTTTCGCCTACGGGAATCCTAAATAATCGATCTTCTTTTTAAATGAAATTAAGGTAACTGATAAAGTTATAACTAAGGCCCGGATTTTGATGACATTTGCATTTTTTTTGCATTTTTTGCATTTTTGGACATTTTTTGTCTTTTGGAGCAATTTTTTAGATTTATAGGGCATTTTTCTTTAAATTTTGTGGCGTATTTTGCATTTTAATGCATTTTTTTAAAGTTTTTTGTTAATTTTTTCCAATTTTTATTATTTTTTATCAATTTTTATTATTTTTTAGCAATTTTCATTATTACACTGGCTTTCAAACAATGAAGAAAATCTATAAAATATTAACAGGTGAAGCAAAATCTTTTCAAATTGAAGAAGAATTGTCAGTAAGTGAGACCGTCTTTTTCAAGTACACGCCTATAACATCAGTAGACGTTGAAAGAAGCTTCTGCAGGAATGAAAATTTACTTTCAGACAAGAGACGCTCGTTTACATTTCAAATTATCGAAAAACACTTAATAATCCAATGTAATTCTGATATTTAGTAATATTATGAGATGGAAGTTGTTATATCCATTAAAGTTTCTATACAAAATAAAAATATTTTGGTGTCAAGATATTTTCCTTTTGTTGTTATTTTAGGCTATAAAACAAATTTTTCAAACTTTAATGAACGCAGAACAAGTATTGCATTGCTTTATATTTTTTAAATGACTCATAATAGTTTTAAAGAGCAAAACATTTTTTAATTCAATATTTTTACTTTATTTAAGGCATTTTTTGCGCAATTTTTGGATTTTTAAGGGCATTTTTTGTCCTTTTTAAGGGCATTTTTTGCACTTTTTAAAGGCATTAGTAGAGATTTTTTAGGTCATCAAAATCCGGGCTCTAGTTATAACCCTTAAAAGACTATATTTAAAATGTTTATTTAGAGGTTGGAAGATTTTTATCGTTAATAATCTTAAATTAGTCTTTCTGTCTGAGTTAAATTTGCAGTTCTCGTACTGTATACCTAGTCTAGTAATGAATTTGTTTCTGGTGTATATGTTACCGTGAATAAACGAAATCAAGAGAATGTCGTCTTTCACCGGTGAATGTCAACAATGGTCTGAAGTATTTGTTATATCCGATTTCATATTAATTTATTCATTAATTTTATTATATTTATACATCCGATATATATTGTTATATCCGATTTGATATTAATTTATTTGTTGATATTATTATATTGTTGTTGTTGTTGATTTACGTCGCACTAGAGCTGCACAATGGGCTATTGGCGACGGTCTGGGAAACATCCCTGAGGATGATCCGAAGACATGCCATCGCAATTTTGATCCTCTGCAGAGGGGATGGCACCCCCGCTTCGGTAGCCCAACGACCTGCGCGCGAAGTCGAGCACTTTACGGTAGCACAGTTTAACGAGGACCAATACCGCACACCCTCGGTCCCTACGCAGACTGATCCAAGTGGGTCACCCACCCGCACACTGACCGCAGCCAGTGATGCTTGACTTCGGTGATCTGATGAGAACCGTGTCTTAACGATCAGTCCACTGCGGGACATTATTATATTCATTCGATATTTTAATATCTGCTGAGGATAGATTAGGAGAAACATTAGTGTTCGGAGTACCGGTTAAATGTATACCGAGAAGTGGCACTTGACCTTAAAAAAACATTTATGTTCGTCCAAATGTATACCGGGAAGTGGCACTTGACCTTAAAAAAAAAACACTGATGTAGGGCATACCGGGCAGTGACACTTCACTAGATCTGGTATATATTTCGGACCAAAGCGACTTATGTGATTGTCAACATTCACTGGTGGAAGTCAACAACCACCTATTTCGGCCATTCACAATAACATATACACATAAGTTGAAACGGATTAAATGAAGACAAAATATGGTATACTTCGAAATGAAATTTTAAAAGAACTGCTCAAAACGTTGAAAATGATTAGTGTGGAAACATATATTTTCTTAAATGACTCACTTGCGTCTTCGAGCATGGATTTATGTTGAAGTGAGCGATGATGTGTACGAGGCACACTTTCATCTGTAGGAGAGCGAACCTCATACCGAGGCAGTTTCTTGGTCCGGATCCAAAAGGCAGGTACACGTAGGGATCCCTTTTGCCCTTCTCCTCAGGGATGAATCTATTAACAAAAATAATGTTGTTGTTACTCAGGCGGTTTGCCAATACCCTTCTTGAAATCTTTTAAGGCAAAGGGTGTGTTTCTTGTTTTTTTTTTTTAATGGCGCCACCTGTGGCTAAGAAAACTTCAGTCACATGCATACGTCACAGCCTGTTTTAAAGTGAGGACCCATTTATACATCCATCCACAGATCGTAATTCGGACCTGGAAGAGAGTACGATCATACTCCAATTCACTATCCTCAGAGGTATTGTTTTGTTAAAGGACTTTGTGACCCCGACTGATTTAACGTGCATACATGGAGATTCTTAAATAAAAGATCTCGCTTCTAACCTCTATTTGCGCATCTATTTTCATGTTTTGTGGTCTGGCAAATTCGTTTGAATCATTCTTGATGGATTCCGGAACGTGATGAGGGTTCATTTGAATTCGCTACTTGCTTCATAGATTTCGTTTTTGTGTTTTATTCTGTATTTTTGTTACATTTTCTTTTCTTTCTTTGCTTGATATGTTTTATTTCGTATATTTTTTACTTAATGTGTTCTATTTTCGTATGAATTTTTTTTTGGGTGGTCCTCGCGCTGTTGCATTGATGTGCTTTGCTTTGGTTGTATTGGTACAATATTGAAAAGCACTCCTTTTTGCTGATATGGTCGCGTGAACTGATGACGAAATTATATTATCCTTTCTTTATTTTGTTTTCCAGCTTTTTTTTAAATTTCTTTTAAATAAATTTCTTTTTTTTTTAAAAAAAATAATTTTAAAATTATTAAGACCAGAAACTACGTTGCAACTTTTTTAAAAAAGGAGGAAAAACAACAAAATCTTGATTCTTTTTTAAATTACGCAGATTCCTGACAAACACCTTCATTTAATGATTTAACCATTGTTTTGAATTAGGAAAGAACCTCTCAGTTCGTATCACTTCAATTTATCTAAGAACCTACGAATATAATTCTTTTTCTCTTTTCAAGCAAATTGCAGAAGATATATATATAAAAAAAAAGATATAACCTTGAATAATTTTAGTTCTACTGATTTCTTTTTTCACGATATAGAACAAAAATTTAATATTATTAATAAATTTTATAGATCAAAATATTATTACATTATGAAATTTTATCTAAAAATCATGTTTCAACTTCTCTCTCTTCAACACACGTCCGCTTACTTCAGTAGTGGTTTGATGTATTTTAAAAGCGTTTCTGTTTTTTTTTCGCACCTGAACATTAATTCCGTGCCTTCGTGAAGGACTTTTTAATGGAACTAACACACAATTTCTGTACAGGGAGAGGAGAATCACTAAAACAGGAGTCGCCAAACTTTTTTGATTATCGACCCCTATATAATTTTTCGAAACCTCCATCGACCCCGCAAAAGTAATTTTCTGTTAATTAAAATAAAACTCTATTAGATACTATGTTTGTACATTTATTTTATGATTTTAAACATTTATTAAAGTAATAGTACATTATGTAACAATAGTTTTATGAAAAATATATTAATATTGAAATTTAAATACCTTATTATTAAATAATAAGTAATTATGCATAAGTAGATATGATAAGTAAAGTAACTAAAGATTAAGTGCTTCTTGATCAATAAGATGGGTGGGCCTGGTGTTTTTTTGCAAGGTTCGCTATATTGGGTTCAAAATTGGTCAATTTTAATTTTCGTCAAAATCGGTCAATTATGTAATTTTCGTAAAAAAATACAAAGTGTGCTATAGTTTTGTCGCGGGCTGTACTAACCCATATCATTAATGCTTACCTTCTTTTTTGTGCATTGATAATCAAAATTGATATCTAAAACCAAACGAATGGTTCTATCGAAACAATAACTAATTATCCAAAACTATAAAAGTTTTAATAATGACACTGCAAATATTCAACACAGTTTGCAAAGATAGTTGAAACTGCGTATGATATTTGCATTTGTAACGTCAATGCTCGTCACACGTGACATTTGGACAAGCGCATACATGCATATGACTTATTAACTGCGCTGAGTTCGTGCCACTGCGCGGTGGTACGTACATACTTGTTTCACCCCAATAAATATACGTTTATTAATTTATGTTTTATAAAGAAACTGATATTGAGTCAATTATAAAAAAAATTCACAAATTTTGCATACTTAATTAGGTATGTGTGATTTGCGTATTGAGAACTGTTTTTTTTTTCGACCCACAATTGACCCTTCCGATTCGGATCGACCCCCATTCGCCCCCCTGTCTCAGATCGACCCCTGCTTTTGTTAAATAGACCCTTGGGGGTCTATATAGACAACTTTGGCGACCTCTGCACTGAAACTTCCTACGGTTAGTGGGAAAGGGATTCTAATCCACGATCGGTATACCACTGAGGATATTCTACGTCAACACCGTGGTCTGTGCAATCCGGGTGCGGAAATCGTATCAATCAGCCATCGCTTGGATTCGAAGCCGGTTCATCTCATTAGAAGGCGAACGCTCTATCTCCTGAGCCACCTTGACTCACTCCGAAAGCTTGTATTTATTTGACCTAGACAATCCTAAAAATATATATGTTCAGTCATCTCGATTTTTTTTTTCCAATTCAATAAAGTGCCATGAAATATTTTTTACTGATGCATATTGAATAATTATCATAGATATATCATAGATATATCATAGATATATAATCATAAAGATTTTACCTGTTGGGATTAAACTTTTCAGGATCTGGAAAATATTTTGGATCATGGTGGAGTGCGTATATTGGAATACTGACGAGCATATCTTTTTCAAGAAGGATACCCGTGTCTCCTAATTCATAGGTGGAAGCAGCTTTTCTTTCTGTTCTGTTAAAAAAAAGGAAGAAAATTGCATATTTAATTTTAAACACAAAACATTTAATCTTATGATTTAAGAACCGGTGGCTCAGGGGAAAGTACTCATCTTCCAATAAGAGGACCAAGGTTCGAATCCTAGCGTTGGTTGGTCGATACGAATTCCGCACCAACCAAATTGCTGATATAAAATATCCTCAGTCATAGATGGATCACGTGTTAGTGTCCCCTTGCCGTCAGGTAAACCATGGGATATTTTCAACTCCTTGTAGAGCAAATGCGGGTTAGTTCCATCAAAAAGTTCGGCAAAATTCCTCCCGATCCTTGATATAGGAGTTCCGTTGTCTTCTGGATTGAGTTAAAAGTTACAAGGTTGCGGAGTTCAGTATTGGTAGTTTTAAGTTCAAAATTGGATTGACTGTTCAACGATGGTTATAAAATAAATAATGTAATGGTTTGGAAACCGCAGTAGCTCAGGGGATAGAGTGTTCGCCTCCCAATGAATCCCAGCTGCAGCTGGTTGATACGAATTCTGCTCGCTCTGACCACCACAGTGGTAGACGGATTATGAGTCAGTGTTTCCTTGCAGTCGGGCTAACCGTGGAAAGTTTTTCCTCTTCCTGTAACGCAAATGAGGGTTAGTTCCATCGGAAGCTAGTTTGTCCCAATGTTTGATCGAGGAGGTCCCTTGCCTTCTGTGTCGGATTCAAAATGAGAAGACTAAGGAGTTGATGGTCGTAAACTCAGAATTGGGTGGGTGGTTCAGCGCCGGTTATAAAATAAAATATAATAGTCTAACAAGCCTAGATGGATTAAATAGATAGTAACTATAATGAAAATACTTTATAACAGATGCTAAATACATACATATTATAACACATACTAGATATAATATTAAAGTATAAATGTTCATAACATGTGGCAACTTACGGGCTCAAATCTGTGTAAAAAAAGATACATATATAAAGAGTTAGATAAGCATAAAACCTGCATAAGAGTTGAATAGGCGTAAATATTATAAAAAGTTATGCTTAAGATTTAAAGAAATATATATTTATAATAATATATAAATAAATTCCACAAATTTATGCTCATTTGAAAGTAATATTCAACTAAATGTGTTAATCCAGTTTAACATTATTACAGTAAAATCTAACTTAAAACAACTTTAAAATACATACTTAATTAGAGGAGGATACATTCTCAAGGTTTCAGACAGGAAGCAATCAAGATATTTCATATTTTGAAAAACTTCGTAAGTCAAAGTACCCTAAAATGGAAAGTAAAAAGAATTTAATTAATAACTTACATTTATTGGAAATATTGATTTTATAAATTTGCTTTACTCATCGTTTCACGTAAGTAATCTTTTGTTGTTGTTGTTGTACTTTAATACGGGTTTAAAAACAAATCTTTCAGAAGAATATAATAAGGTGTTTAGTACGAAGAATCTTCTCTCAACATGGATTAAGTTAGAACTGCAGAAAAATTAGGAATCGAGTTTCAGATATATTTTTTGTGTAGAATACTTTAAACTTCATTTGAAATTCAAACACATAAATTTTAACATTAAAATGAAGTGTTTATTTTCCGATAAAATTTTGTCTTTTAACAAATGAGAGTTTAAAAAAGAAATCTCCACTTTAAAACGATCCCGCAATGGACGTAAAGACACGGTTGCCAGTAAAACATCGAAATCAAGAATCAGTAAGCTGGCGGGTGACCACTTTGATCAGCCTGCTCAGGAACCGAGGATGCGCGGTATTGGCTCTCGTTAAATTGCTCTATCGTAAAGTGCTCGATTTCGCTCGCAAGTCTTCGAGCTACCAAAGCAGGGGAGTCAACCCTTCTGCTGAGGATCAAAATTGGGGTGGCATGTCTTCGGCTCATCCTCGGGAATGTTTCCCAGACCGTCGCCAATAGCACATTGTCCAGCTCTAGTGCAACGTAAATAAAATACCTACTTACCTACCAAACGTTTTCAACGAGAAGTCTAAAAATAAATACTAAGGCAGTCTTTACGAAGCACAGTATACCGCTTATTTTACCAGCACAGTTCCCTCGTCATATATATAAATTACCATTGATTTCGCGAATTTTACGTTTATAGCGCAAAAACACGTGGCTCGAGAGGTAGCCGTGGTACACATGGTTGAACCTATTTGTGTTTTGACGTTTTCTTACGCTGATTTCGCCCTTGCTTACCCGACTGAACGATCAAATAAAAATTTAAAGAAATTTAGTATTTACATTTGTTTCCTTTAAGCAATCTTCGATTTCCTTCCGAACTTTTTCTTGGACATCCTGTTGAGTTGCCAGTACATAAGTGGCCGCAGAGAAAGCAAGAGCTAAAGTTTCGAAGCCAGCAACGAAGAATATGATGCACTGCGCTATCAGTTCATTCCTTGATAGACCTGAGAGCGAAAGATGGCCATTATTTAAAACTGATTTTTTCTTTTATTTAATGTCATAAGAAAAACTTGACCTCATGTTCTTTTTTATAGAGAACACGAGTCTAACATTAAATTTACACGTGTCTAACATTAAATTTACACGAGTCTAACATTAAATTTACACGAGTCTAATATTGAATTTACACGAGTCTAATATTAAATTTACACGAGTCTGACATTAAATTTACACGAGTCTAACATTAAATTTACACGAGTCTAACATTAAATTTACACAAGTCTAATATTGAATTTACACGAGTCTAACATTGAATTTACACGAGTCTAACATTGAATTTACACGAGTCTAATATTGAATTTACACGAGTCTAACATTAAATTTACACGAGTCTAACATTAAATTTACACGAGTCTAAGATTGAATTAATCAACTGAAAAACATTCATTATACTTAAAAACTGTAAAATTCTTCCCATTTCTTTTTTCTTTGTAAGTATTGTTAATCTTTGAAGTTCCATTTACCCAGATAGGAAAAGTTATAGCCATCTGTTATCATAATCTGCAATTAAAGTCCAACAATGGTCTAAACGTCTGCAATCCTGATTTTATCATTTTCAAAAAGTGAAAACAAATACCTAATTTCAAATCTAATATAATCACTCTTAGTCATAACGTTTTTAAAAATTTAAAATACTAGGAGGCTTCGCCCCCTACTCGCTGGCGCTCGCCAACCCCCGGAACTGCTTTCGCAGTTCATTTCGGATTGCTTCGCAATCCGATGATCGCTTTACTCGCTCATTGGATACGTTCTTAACGTCTAGCTTTTGTATACTTATTTGAACACTGAAGTTCCGAAAACTTTTCACTGTAGAAAATTCTAAAAATGTGCATTTCAATATTAATTTAAAATTGAAAACAGTTCGCATATTTTTCTTAATCACACTATTCTAAATTTCAGTTGTTGAGAAAAGTAACTGTTGTAAGTTTTGTTTTAAAGTCTTTCCCACCAGAGGGCTAAAGCCATGTGTTGTAAAACAATATGAAATAGTAGTCTGCCACTGAACGCCGGATGTAAAGCATCGGCTTTGATGAAGATAATTTTGTATTTTTAATTCTCTGAAGGGCGCCACCTTAATAATATGGAATTTGTAAAATAAATGTATATATTTTTGATTGTTGATGAAGCCCATCATTTTGTGTTTTCATCAGTGTTCAGAAGCAGAACAACTATAAGTTTTTTATTTTATCACAAAAATATAAAATGTATAAAAAACAAAGAAAAGAGTAAGAAAATGAGTATAGTCATAGAAAAAGTTAAAATTATAATATAGTATTTGTCAGTTAAAATAAAACTTTTTGTTTAAGTCATTGCTAACAATTCAAATTTCTCCGAGGCAATTCTAAAGTATAAATTAAGGTAGTATTGTTAAGTTGAAACACAATATTTTTAGTTTTGATGTCAACAATACAATTCAATTTTTCACAAAAACGATTGTTTCCATTGTTAAGTTCAATGTCAACAATTCAAATTTTTCTGAGGCAACTCTTAACCTCTAAATATTATTTTTTTTATGTACACATTTCTAAATGTCAGTATTCAACCACAAAACAACTTAAAGTCCTCAAATTTAGCATGAAGTTGTAAAATGTAATGAAAGAGGGTCATAGCAATAATGAAAGTAGAAGTAAAGTTAGTACTGTAAAATTAAAACAATATTTTTAATCAATGAGCCAAGTTCTTCAAGAAGCAGTTGTAGAAGTAGGTTGTTTATTTAAAACTATTTGTAGAATTTCTTTAAAAACTCAATTGTGAATTTGGGCATTTGGCGATACAACACTTATAGAATCGAAGGATTTGTTACGTCAAGCACTGAGGTATCATAATTTTGATCTAGTTACGCTTCTAAGTCATTTTGATTTATGTTGCTAAGTTAACTTTCAAAAAATTCTATGACTGGCAACGGCATTTTTAATTTATAAGTTGTTTATTTTTATTTCTTTTAGAATTCGTTATTTTTTTAGCGAAATGTTTTTTAACCTAACAGAATTCTTTGCCGACTGTTTTCTCTATGAATGAAGAAAATAAAGTAAATATTTAACTGTTGTGAAAAGAATCTTATTTAGTTGTACAAAGTACTTCAGCCAAAATTTGGGAGCCACGTAAGAGAATTATATATATTAGATCAGAAACACATCATTAAAAGGCAGAATGCTTTGGTGTTTTCAAAACGTAAACAAAACAAAGCAAACGTTGCCACCGGCGGAAAAGAAATACAGCCAAAATTTGGGAGCCACGTAAGAGAATTATATATAATAGATTATATTAACAACATAATTTTACAAAATCCAACAATGGTCTAAATGCTTGCTATCCTGATTTATCATTTTTAAAAAGTGAAAACAAATACCTAATTTCAAATGTAATAATGCTTTCAATCTTAGTCATAACGTTTTTGAAAAGATTTTTACAACAGATTGTTTTACAAATGGTATGTTATGTCTTAAAAACGTTTTAAGATGCGACATTATACACTTTGGATATTTCCATAACAATTGCTATAAGTTATATAAAACTTGAAATATTATTTTTGTTATCAAATATTATTACATAAAACATACAATGTAAATGCTCCATAAATTTTTATAAGAATAAATAATGGGCTATGTTCGCTGCTGCTCACAAAAACCGACGATTGACAACGCAAAAAAGGACCACCGTGAATTACTTTTAATCTAATGCTCGGATCTTCACTTTCTAGGGCTCAATCTCTTAATGGTAACTATAAATATGTTAAAAAGTACAGACGATATTTTGAGTTACGAAATCAGACATAAAAACGTACTTTCTCTGAATGATGGATTATAATTTCTGACCCCCCACTAAATACAGAGGGTAGCCGCAATCTGGGAAATATGATCCCAATACTTTGATCAGGAGAGTTGTCTACATTTGACTTATTTCGCCATATCTTGAGAATTTTTTTTAAGTGAATTAAAAACTTTTTGAGCACAGTTATAAAATTTCCTTACCCAAAGATAATTCCATGCAAAAATAACTTTTAGTAAATATTTATTATTTTCTTTTAATTAAAAAAAAAAAAAAAATTAAGGCATTTTGAATTGTAAGGTGTACAGTTTTTAACATCATTTTAAAGAATAAAACTTTACATGGCACAATATAAAATTTAAACGAAATCAACGGAATAGCTTCTAAGAAATTGAATTTTTAAAAATACGGCATTTTTAAAATTCAGTTTCTCAGGAACTATTCGACAGATTTCGCTATGAGCAAAATTTGACCGATTCGCTAAGCTTCACCGCTTGACCGATGCATCTATGAGGCAATTTTCTAAAAAAATTTACGTACGTTAAGAACACGTGAGACACCTTCTCTCTCTGTGCGTGTACGTATGCAAGCACACGGAGTCAAATTTTAAAATAGCTTTATCACGGAACCATCGCAGTTTTGGTTCCAGAAATTTTTAAAAAAAATTCAGCCCGACATTTAAAATGTACTATTCGAGACACGGCGGCAATGAGATTTTCTTTTATTTTAGTCCATTTCAAATGGAATAAAAGCAAAATAAAGGTTTTGAATTTATCAAATGTAAACAATCGTTTCCTGCCTTTTTTAATTTTATAGCAATTAATTTTTTTATGTTTGTACGATGAAATTTTTTTTTTTGAAGTTATACTTCTTATGCGACTTCCAACAAGGTTGCGTTAAACGTTTAACGCTACATTTTTATTGGCCGGGAAATCACGTGGTAGGATCCAGTTTTCCCTCATTCATTGCCATATTGTTTTGGTTCTCACTAGCATAAAAATAATAAAAGTATTGTTTTTCTATAAATATTTTTTTTAGTTTGTTTTGATACACATATAATTTGATAGGGTAGTATTTTTTATTTTCAAATTTAGTGGATAACAATTGTAAAAAATGAGTGAAAACAATCCCGCGGACAATGCGACGGATTTAAGGTTATGTCAAGGTACGTCTCTTGTGAATATCAATTGATTGTTAGGTTTTCTCTTCTGAAATTACATTATGACGCATTCACATACATTATTAATGCAAATACATTTTCCAGGGCAACCACAAGCACTTCCACTGGTTCAAGAGATCGACGAGGTAAAAATGCACAATATTACCGTGATTACAGAGCACGGAAGCGAGCGGAGCAGGAAAAAGAGTCGTTGAATAGAACTAGTGATCCTTCTACGACTGCTGATTCTTCTACAATTAACGACGCGGGATGCGAAATTTAACTTCTTCCGTGCGGAGGGACTCCACGCATTATTTTTTTATACAATTCTTAATTTTAGCAAATAAAATTATTTATTTTTATGATCCCAAAAACGTTTAACCTTATCAGGGATAAAAATTACTCCACTTATTTTTGACAATGATAAGACATGGTGCGCAATGTTTTTGAAAAGAGCGTAAAGGTGCTTATTTTCGCTTTTTAAAAGCCCTTAAAGGTGCTTTTTTCATTGGGTGTTTTTAAAAAGTGCTTAGTTTTCCCTTTTCGAAATGAGATTTTTTTCTTTACCATGTCGAATTTCGTCACGTTTTATGCAAAAGAGTGCTTTTCACATTGTTCTATTCGACGTTTTCACGATTCATTCGACCACAACCTGTTTCGGCATACCGTCGGTCCATAGCTTATGAAAGCGTCAATCAGTTTACAAGTTTGATGAAATACTTGCGAATCCGCATGAGTTGGGTGAGCTGAGACTCTTGCTGCATTTTGAAAGATATTCTCAATTTCAGACTTCATTTTCTACCCTCTGATATCGGACCGAAAAATCTCTCGAGCATTTTATAATGGCTAATATAATCAAGAAAAGAGTTCTTTGTCAGAAACTAGTTATTTTATCTTATCATATGATCACGTAAAGTCTTTGAATATTGTTATGTATTTTGTTAATTTATATAGCACTTAAAAATATATTTTGAATGCTTAGAAGGTGCTTATTTTTTGTTGAAAAATTTTGCTACGCACCCTGTAAGAACCACAGAAATTTTAAAAGTTTTTACCTCTTAGCGTGGTTTTTAATCAACCCTTTTTAATTTTGGAAAATGAAAAGATGTAGCACATGTACAAACTACTTAATTCTGAATATGGATATGAGGATCACAATTTTTTTTTATACTTTTCTTGACTAAATTTTTTAATCAAAATTTTCATATTCGCAAACGATTGAACTGATACGGTTTCAAAATTAACTTATAAAAAAATTATTGTCACAATATACGATTTTTTGCATTGCTGTTACTTTATACTATCATGCAAACATTTGTATTGATCGAACATATTATCTATAGTATTTTTCTTAATTAATTGTAATAATTACTGAGAGTACTGTCCCCAGCTCGCTTGGTTCACCAATCCCCCCCCCCTTCCCCATTGCTGCGATCACCTTTTTGTTTCTTAATGATAAACATCTAAATTTAAAAAAAAATATTTAATTGACAGATCTCAATGAAAAAATATATTATAAAAATAAAAGGATATATTAAAAAAAATATTCAAATGCAGAGACTATATCAAAGATATAGTCCCTGCTACGATAAAATTTAAGCTCAATCATTTCGCTCTGTACCATTGCAATTTCATATAATTTTTTTCAAAAAAAACTTTAATTTTGGTTATTTAAGAAACTCGTTAAAATTTTTTTTCTCGCAAAAATTTATTATTTAGTAACAGTGTGAAAAATTATTTGTAAAAATATGTTACACTTTTGTAATTGCGTAGGTTGCTGTATGCATTATGCACAAAGCTTATTTACTGTTCAGTAATCGTAAAATGGCTAATTAGTTTAGATAACCAATTTATATATGTTTGCAAGGTTCGTACGCACCTGAAAAAAAAATTAAAAACTGGTATCAATTTCTTTTTAAAGAAACTGAAAATTTCTGAATAATAGCTTCCACTATCGAAATAAAATGTCATATCTGTCACCTTCGGATCTATATATATATTTACTTTGAGAAAATAAAATATTCTGGTTGCTACAAACATAATAAAATAAAGAAAAATATATTCGCGATCGCAACGAACTATAGGGGGCGTTGTTGTATGAGACGCTTACCTGCGATTTCTATATGAACCGTCATTCAGTTACTCTGGAGACGTCGTTAATGTAGCGTGTAGCATTGCAACGTTCCTTCTTTAATGTGGCTTATTAAATTTAAAAAAGAAAAATGCTTGATCTTCTTTCTTGTACAACCGAAAACAAAATGGTATCTCTTTTTATTAGAGAAGGAATAAGGGTCTCGATTTGAGTTAAATCTACGATTTGAATTAGTTTCGTTTCTGATATTCTTATAAGAGTTAAAACCTAATGCCCGAGAAA